CGATTTTCAAAAGGTGGTTGTAGTTCAGCTGGGATGTGAAGTTGGAGAGTACAGTTAGAGATGAATTCAGCTTAGATGGGAGGTGATATTTGTGTTGGTGTTTTCATCTAAGCTCTTCATCAAGTAAGCGCTTTAGACAAATGTGGTAAGCTATACGTCTACATATACACATGCGGAGATTGTAAGGCCTCCTGTATTGGTAAAACCAAACGTTACTTTAAAGTACAAGTGTGTGAACACAAGGGCATATCTATAAAACCTGGAAGAAACACTACTAAATGAAATGAAATTTGAAAAATACATGCCCACATAAAATAATTTATAACTTTTAACTTCAGTAATAAGTTAGAAAAAACATTTTTTCTTTTACTCTATCACTACGGGCTTGGGCCCAGGGACTGACCTTGTAACCATTTTATGCTTGTTATAGTTTTCATACTATAACTTTTAATACAACATGTGTATCTTCATGATATTTTACATATTATCAATAAACAATACAAGGCTTTCATACACAAAATATCAGATTTTTGTTTATGTTTTAAGATTTCTAAATTAATGATTTCCTCATGCATTTTTTCTTTTTGAATGTTCATCATCAACATGCAAAGTAATTTTGATTTTAAGATTAAAAATACTTCTATGCATCAGAAAATTTTCAAATTTCACATGAGAAATCTTTATAAACTACTAATAATCTCAAGATAGTTATCAATCATTTTATTTAGCAAAAACTGTATATTTTACCTGTTATTTCACTATTTTATCTCCATATGGACTTGGTTGATTTGACTACCTCATAACCACCATAAAAAATTAGGAAATAGATATAAATCATGCTTTTCCATTTAGAATGACAACAAATTAGAACACAAAACCACAAATGTTTAGTCTACATAGCTTAAATGTCATAACATTATACATCTATCTATATTTATTTTATTGGCCTTTCAGCTGTGTCTGACTAACATTACAGAAATTGTAATGATGTAGAATATGTACACTGATGTTACTGTATCCAATAGTATAAAATTGACCTTTACAAGCTGACTTGTCTTAGCTTTCTTCTCATGGACTAGTATTTTGTAAAATACTGTCACGTTTTGGTTATAATACAGTACATATGTATCTATATTATTATTATTTACAAATAAGTACTTAAATTTCAGTTATTTTTCTTAGAACACAGAACAGTAATTAAAGAAATATAGAAAACAATTGTTTATTCTACTTACACATTTTGTACTCGTTTGCTGCTTGCCATAATTTGCTAAGTGTTGTTAAATTTTTCATGTGGAGAATATTTTTTTAGGTTTTATATATGCATTTTGAAATAACAAAAATCATAAATTACTTTATCAATACCACAGAATTGCACTATAATTTATCAGGCTTAGTAACTAAGCTGTATTTGGATCTAAAAAATATGATTTTTTGAGCTCCATAATGTCTTACCTTACTGCTTTGATTCTACCATGAAAAGAAAGGGCACCCTGTGTAAATGCTTCACAGAGGCTAAGAAAACCAATTAGGGGACATTTTGAGCTTTTGATTGGTTATACACACGTCATTGGACGAAGTAGGTGTACTTTAGCATGTATTTCCAAAAATGGAAGTGATGGGTGGGGCCACCTTGGTTGATGCATTAGATATAATAATATCTTAGAAAATAGAAAAGTTAATAGGTTCTTATTCTATTGTGTCAATATAGGTAATTTTAGTTTTTATTTCCTCAGAAACTATAGACTTTGTAATTGAACTTCAGCACATCTAATTTAATTAAACCAATGCTGCATTCAACATACCACATGATACACAAAAATCAATAATTAGGAAGTTTGTTTTAATTACTTTTAAATTAAAAAAAATTAGCTAATATATAATACTAAAATTTGATGCCAAATTTATTGCCATAGATTCATAAAATAGTAGTTGAGTAAAATTTTGAATGTAAGTCTACAGATGTAATGACATGCCTTTTGACCCCTGACCATAGGAAGACCCATCAACATAGGGTTAAACATTTTCATCCAATTTCCCCTGGTGGGACAGCAATAAGTCTATAGATTTACAACACAAAAATCAGGGGTTCAATTCCCCTTGGTGGACACAGCAGATAACCCAATGTGACTTGGTTATAAAAAAAACAGCAAACAAACTCTCTCTCTCTCTCTCATTTTTCATCCAAGTGAAGTAATGAATTTTGAGTGTGAGGAAATGGTTATTGTATTTCACAAGTTATTTATAAATTTTTTTTTCACATGTAGGTGTCTCTGAAACATGGTTTTAAATGTCTTAAAACTTGCAGATGTTACTTTATAAGATACAATGTTAAGTATTTCTTTGAAAATTTGTTATTTAGAATGCTGTATCTTTGCCAAGTTAAAGCATACAAATGATAATTTGAAAAGTTTTTTTGGTGTACAAGAAGATAGCTTTTATATGCAGAAACATTTGTTAGCTGAGTTCTTGCACAGATCTTAAAATATAACGTTGACAAATGGAAACATCGGCACATGTAGATATGTAGATCTTGAAAGTCGAGTTGTTCAAAACTTGAAAATAGTGTTGATGTACCCAATTCCATAAGAACTAAGAGTGTGAAAGAAAAGAATTTACCATGTCGCTCCTGTAAAACAAAACTTCTACCACCAAAATGTGAATCAGCAATTGGCCAACATTTACAAGCGAACCCGACTTGTGCTGACAACTACATGGATAGCAGGTTTAAAATTATTGCAAATGGTCTGTCAACCTTTCATATCTATATTTTGGAAGGACATAAACCTGTCCTTTGCCACCAAAAAGAATTCCTATACAATCTACACATCCTTCAGTAGGTCTTTGACATTTCCTGATTGGCTTAAGGACTTGCCAATCAGTGATTGCCTTACCGGCCCAAGGTGTTGGTCTGACTCATTTTATAAGCTGTACTATTTCCTATAGATCATTTTCCAGATGGTTCTGCTATGATTAGTATCT